CTCATGTTAAGGGATTTTGTGAAAAGACTTGCCTTTCATCAGCTGAAAGGGCTTCAGATCCAGAGTTTAGCGGTAGGTGATATAGCCATACTCCTTCATTCTCCAAAAGAGGGCTCATAATGAGGTTATGTTTGCTGCATCTGTTGCTCGCTGCTTCCCTCCCCCAGTTGTAGGGGGACAAATGTGGCCAATGCCTCTAAGACCTCTGTCCCCTCTCACAGCACTTGTGCCTGTGTGGAATACTATGGAAAAGCTCTGGAGGCACTGGTGAAAAGCATGAAGATAATGTGCATTCATGGAAAGATGAAATATAAGCGCAATAAGATCTTCATGGACTTTCGCAAATTGCAAAGGTGGGTTGGCTTTGTTGGAAATGGTAGATCTACAACCACACTACACTTTTTCATGTCCCCAAACTCACCCCATTCTCCCTTTGCCTGTAATGCTCCACACATTTCTTTCCCCTGCCTGGACTCTCTTCCTTCTCCAACCCAGTCATCATATGTTCTCTGTGTCAGTGCCCAGAGCCCCCCATTCCTCTGTCCTAACCCCCCTTTCCACTTTGCTGGGATAACTTCCTTAGTTATTGGATCTCCCTGCGAGATTGTAATCTCCAAGAAAACAGGAATCTTGGATATTGTGTTCGTTCCCAGGTTTCCCTGGGCCTGGCTCAGTGGAGGGTTTTGATAACTATTTGTTGACTGAATGAATAGGGCAGAAAGGAGCCTTGTTGGGAAACAGTAGGTTGTCACAGTTGGGAACTTGTGGTCTCTTAATGATCATAGCTTGCTTCTGTTTGTACATATGACAGTTCCTCAAAAAGTTCATGGAAAGGTTCATGTTATTTTTTAATTCTATTTTTCCATGAACTTTTTGATGTATAAATAATTTTGTTTTTCTTAATCATTGAGCAGCTGCATTAAAAGCATTCTTAAGGGCAAAGGGATACACCTGACTGTTGTACCTCAGTCATAAAGTGAAAATATCACTTGTTTTCATTTTCTTTTTTTTTGAAAATGAAAAAAGTTGTATTTTATTTTTTTATTTGACAGACAAAATTGTATGTATTTATCATGTACAACATGATGTCGTGAAGTATATGTACACTGTGGAATGGTTATATCTAGCTAGTTAACAAATGCATTGCCTCACAGTTATTTTTGTGGTGAGAACACTTAACATCCACTCTGCATTTTTCATCACTTGTTTTCTTAAATTGCTGCAATGGATTAGATGCACTACAGTTTTGTTTTGTTTTTCAAATGGAAATATACTAAATTTAAAAGTCCTTTTGATGTTCCCCTCCCTCTTCCTCTACCACCAATTTTCATGGGAACTTGTAAAGTCCTAGAGATTCTTTGGAACAAGAAAAAAATCAAAATATGAACATCCGTAAGTCCTTGCTTCTGTGAGAAACTCTGGAACCTGTGTATTACTGTCATTGTCATTGAGATCAGTAAAGACTGAAGGCGATGAAAATGGTGACCTGCTTTCTCAAAATGCTGTTTTCTCTTTTTCTAGCGGGATTTTAGTGTGCACTGATGTGATGGCCCGGGGAATAGATATTCCTGAAGTAAACTGGGTTTTGCAGTACGATCCTCCCAGCAATGCAAGGTACCACATAATAAAACATTAGCCTCTCTCCATATAGGAACCTACCCTAATGAAATGGGAATCCAAGATATTACATTCATCAAAACATTATTTTAAATAGCAAAAATAGACAAATGAGTGAATAACTGTCAGTAGTAATACTATAGTGTAGCAATTAGAGGTATTTTCAAGTACTGTAATTTCTTGAAGAAATGCACAATTAAATGTTTAAATGAAAAAAGCAATACATAACACCATGTATGGAAATTGCAATTATTTTCCTCAGTGTAAGCTAATATATGCTTCCAAACAGGAAAATGCCTCAAGTGATAATAATGTTTCTTCTGAGATTACAGGTCATTTTTATTTTATTCTTTATACTTTTCATCGTTTCCCAGATTTTCTGCAGGGACCATGTCTTACCTGTTTGATCAGAGAGAAAGACGTTTTAAAGTTTTACTTAGAGTTCAAAGTAAATGTCTATTCCTGAATCATACCTGTTTGCAATGTCTCTTTAATTGCCAGCTCTTCTATTTCTCACACTAATAAGTCAGCACCGAGTCAGCACTGAGCTGTCAAGCCTGGTGGCTCTTCATAGCATTTTAGCTGTGTCTGTATGAGGCTGAACCTGAGCTCTGCTCCCCGTCGTCACCTGGGTGCTTGTTCCCACCCTGTGTTCTCACAGTGCCTTTGTGCATCGCTGTGGCCGCACGGCCCGTATCGGCCACGGTGGCAGTGCTTTGGTGTTCCTCCTGCCCATGGAAGAGTCCTACATCAACTTCCTTGCAATTAACCAGAAGGTGAGCTGTGTTCTCTTTCCATACAGAATGCTCAGTGACAGCATAGCTGGAAAAGTTCTTCTCCAGCATGAGGTCAGAAACTTAAATTAGGGACAGCAAACTCAGAGGCTGGGCTGCAGGTGTTAGTGCTGGACCTTGGCGGCTTTAGGTCTCGCCTAGCCTCTTCTGTGGGGCAGCACTTTGGTTCCCAGGCAAGGGTTGCTACTTGAGAACAGGGACCCATGTTGCCATACTCTCCTACCAAATCAGGATTATCATGTGAAATTTGATTTGTAAATTTTTTTAAAAATTCAAAACACTTTCAGATCAAATGAAGTATTTGAGAAGGATTTGGGCTATAGGTCTGATTTAAGATTAAAATGAGTTGTTATGGGCTGGCTGGTTAGCTTAGTTGGTTAGAGCATGGTATTATAACACCAAGGTCAAGGGTTTGGATCTCTGTACTAGCCAGCCAACAAAACAAAGTAAATAAAAATAAGATGAAAAATTTTTGCCTTTGGTTTTATTGGCACTGGCTGTAATGGGGAAGACTTGGGGGTGACGTAATGCCAGCCAGAGAGGGTGAGAATGTGGTCTCTGTGCAGTGCCCCCTGCAGGAGATGAAACTCCAGAAAAACACAGTGGACCTTCTGCCAAAGCTCAAGTCCATGGCCCTGACTGACAGAGCTATGTTTGAAAAGGGCATGAAAGCTTTTGTGTCATACATCCAGGCTTATGCAAAGCACGAATGCAACCTGATCTTCAGATTAAAGGGTAAGTTGGACTTTTTCTTCACATAATTGTATCTCCATCTCAACTCTCTGATAGTCTAACAAGTATGAAATTGCTTTGTCTTGTTAGGTATATGTCAGGGTTAATGTTTTCTTAACATTTAAAAGGAAGTCTTCCTAGGCTTTTAGTAGACACAGAATAAACTGGCCACTGCCTGCTGAATATTCCTTTTTGCCTTGTAAAAATGTAATTATTTTAATTCTAAAATGAATTCATCAAATCCTTAAGTTAGAAAGATGTGAATTATCAGGAATCTTCCACTGTTGGCTATTATCATATTTTGGGTGTGCTAACTCTGATGTTTTGATTTAATTAGATCTTGATTTTGCTAGTCTTGCTCGAGGTTTTGCCCTGCTGAGGCTGCCCAGGATGCCAGAGCTGAGAGGAAAGCACTTTCCAGATTTCATGCCCGTGGATGTTAACACAGACACGATTCCATTTAAAGATAAAATTAGAGAGAAGCAGAGGCAGAAACTGTTAGAGCAACAAAGAAAGGAGAAAACAGAAAATGAAGGGAGAAGAAAATTCATAAAAAATAAAGCGTGGTCGAAGCAGAAGGCCAAAAGGGAAAAGAAGAAAAAGATGAATGAAAAAAGGAAAAGAGAAGAGGTAAAGTTTGCAGTTTTCCTTATTACCTAAATTTCAATAATTCGTAAAGGGCCACAAAAAATGATTATGTTGTGTAGTGTTGAATATACTATTACCCTGATTTGAGCGTCACATATTGCACATGGATATGGATATTCAGTGCTGTTTCCCATGAATATTTACAATCAACTATGTCTCAATTAAAAAAAAGATTTCAACTTAGAATTCTGAACAAATTATATTGTAATAGAATCTTTTAATAGGAATTATGTGGGGCTTTCAGATTTTTATATTATGTTGGCAACTGGAGTGGGGAACTTACTATATTTGTGAAAGCTGATCTGAGAGCTTACAGTTCCTGATTAAAAATTGCTGGTTTGATTAGAAAACTGTTGCTGAGAAATTCAGTAGTTTGTTGGTTTCTTCTGACTTAGGGCTCTGATATTGAAGAAGAGGACATGGAGGAACTTCTCAATGACACAAGGCTCTTAAAAAAGCTTAAAAAAGGTAAAATTACTGAAGAAGAATTTGAGAAGGGGCTGTTGACAAGTGGCAAAAGATCAATCAAGACAGCAGATATAGGGATCTCAGATTTGGAGGATGACTGCTGATTCCAGTGCCTCTAATGTGTACCAGGGCACAGCTGGCCCTGAACTTGGTGGACAGCTCCAATTTGCTTTTACTTTAGGAGACATCTGAGAAGAATCAGTTCCTGAAAGCTATCCTTTCAGAGTGGGGAGAAATTAGGGGATTTCATACTTGTGAATATTTTACTAAAAGCATACTAGTCTTGAATTCTGACGGAAGAAAATGTAAAATTATTTGAGTATAAATAGTATATGTCTATTTATGTTGATGGGTCACTTATAATTAAAGACCTAATTTTTTCTAAGGTTATTTTATACTTATTTCTTAACATAAAGATCCTGAAGTGTTGACTTTATGCTTTTTAAAGTTCCTTAATATTTTCAGGCACCTGGTTTCCCTGGGTGTCCTGTCTCCAGACTTCAGTTATTCTTTGATGCCCAGCACAGAGCACCTGCAGAATGGCTAATGGGCTGAGGTGTTTCTTTCTTAAGAATAATCCCCAGTACTGTTTTATTGGTGAATATCTGAAAAACAGAGGAAGTCATATTCTGGGAGAGAAACTTTGAGTCTTAAGCATGTGAATGTGGCTGCATAGTGTTTTCACCAAGATGGCCAATATGTTTTGGGCCTGGGTCAGCTTGCAATATTAATGCAACATCATTTCAAAATCTTTCATATAATTTATTTGAAAAGATGCTGAATTGGTTCCCAAGTATAATTTTAAAAGGCTGTTTAGGACCCAAACACGTTTAAAGGAAACTCACATCTTTTACAGATATAGAACCTAAGTTTACAAATATTCCAGAAGGCATCTTTATAAGTGGTAAGCCATGTAGGATACAACTGCTAAATGCTGTTTCTGCCTTCCTTTTGTTCTCTCCATACAACCTCTACTCTATCTGTAAGCCAGATGCAAATTTAGCAAATGTTTCTTGCTTTTCCTACAAGGCACCATATGGAAAGGGTTTCCTGGCCAGCTGTTAGTCATTTATTGCAGAGGTGACTGGCTGCAGTTAGGAACACCTGCTTTTTGGCCTCTTTCATTGATGCTTTTGGCAAATCAGTATGAAGTGCAGGGGAAGATGAAGGGAGGTGGACTTGGGTACATCTTCTGTCTTCATGGCCAGTAACTGAACTTGTTATTTCTGGAAACTGAAAATGAATGAAAGTTTCTGGAAACTGAAAGCACAAAATTTAGGTTGGGTTTTAGAACCATGAACACCTTTTAGATGAGGCTGAGATTAGTAAGATTCTCCAAGATTTATGATTTTGTCTTTAGCCATAAACCTTCATTAAAAAACAATTCAGTTTTGGCTGCACTCACTGGGGGTCAAGAGACCACTTGCCTGCCCCAACTCTGTGAGCTGTACGCTGGTGGGAGAGGACCCAGAGGTTATAGATAGAGCTTGATGAGTTCATCACTGACTGCTGAGGGCGTCAATACACCCAGATCTGTAAACAGCAAGGTGATTAAGGAAGGGGAGGTGTAGTCGACCCATGGATGCTCCTCTTTGAGGTCTTGTCCCATCTGCACAGACTTGAGGGTATTTGCCTTATACTGAAGAAAGAAGAGCATACGTTAGTCCACCTGCACATTTAGGGCTCTGAACTGGCGAGGCCTCGGCTTGAGCAGTTAGTGTGATACTACCTGAGACTGCTCTCTGGACATGGGGAGAAGCCAGCCGTCACACACTGGCAAGGAGGGCAGAGTTGCTCCCATGAGCCAGATCATGGCATGAGCCAGATCACTGCGGCATAATGGCTAACATCCGTAAGTATACTGAAAAACCTAAACTCACATCCCCTCGTTTGTGTGCTGGATTAACTCCTCCAGACCTCTCAAGGTAACAATTTAGAGTAACTACAGAGAACTTGCCATGTGGTGCCTGACACCGTGCTAAGCCCTTCCGATGGATTATCACAGGATCCTCATAAAGCAGTCAGGTAATACTATCCCATTTTACAGATAAACTGAAGTTCAGAGATAACAATGAAAGGACTTGTCTGGGGGCACATGGTTCGTATGTGGTGGAGATGGGAGCTGAGCCCAAATACTTGATTTCAAAGCGTGGACTCTTCACCACCAGCTTCCCTGCTGCCTCTCAGCCCATATACGAGGATACTTCAAAAAATTCATGGAAAGATTGGTATTATCTTTCAACTCTATTCTTCCATGAACTTTTTGAAGTACCCTCTTACAGTGCTACTGAAGTGATTGAGAGACTGAAAACTGATTCTGAGGACAAATGTGAGTCCAAGTTCAACACTACCAATTAATCTCTGTGTTGGAGAAAATAGCAATGGGAAGTGAACAACTTACTGGCACACTGTTATTAGCCCTGCAGTTCTTCAAAGGTTTCAGTTTAGACTGAAGTACCTCTTCAAATATGTAAAACTCTTGCCTTAAACTTATCTGGGACGTCTTGCTGGTTTAGTGGGAAAAGCCGTACAAACTTGAAACTTTCTGCAACCACATAAAACGGCTTGTTCTGTGCTTTGGCACACACAGCCATCTGGTTGGTTCCAATCTGGGAAGTCAGAGAAAATGGAGAAGGATGAGCTCTTATAGCACATTTGAAGTGGAAACAACAGAAAGTGTATAAACAAACATATGTAATTCTGTCTTTGGAATCAAAGCAGACTTCTTAAAAAAGAAAACAATAGATATTTCTCCAAAGATATACAAATGGACACTGAGCACATGAAAAGGGTTGCTCAACATCATTAATTAGGGAAATGTAAGTCAAAACGACAATGAAATCACTTCACACCTCTTAGGATATCTATAATTTAAAAAAATACAAGTGTTGGTGAGGGTGTAGAGAAATTGGAACCCTTGTATATTGGTGGTGGGAATGTAAAACGGTGCACGCAACCTTTGTGGAAATCAGTTTGGCAGTTCCTTGGAAAACTAAATATACAGTTATACGACCTAGCAATTATACTACTAGGTATATATGCAAAAGAATTGAAAACAAGGACTCACAGACTTAGATGTCAATGTTCATAACAGCATTATTTACAAAATCCAAAAGGTAGAAACAACTCAAGTGTCCATCAAGATATGAATGGATAAACAAAATGTGGTCTATCCATACAATGGAATATTATTTAGCAATAAAAAGGAATGACGTTCTGACACAAGCTACAACTTAGATGAACCTTGAAAACATTGTGCTAAGTGAAACATGTCAGACTCAAAAAGACGAATATATGACTCCATTTTTTGAGGTACCTAGGATAGGTAAAATCAGAGACAGAAAGTAGAATAGAGGTGACCACAGGTTGGGAGGAGAGGGAATGGGAGTTAGTATTTAATGGGTAGAACTTCTGTTTGGGAAGAATGAGTTTTGACAACAGTGGTGATGGTAACACAACAATATCTTAAATGCCTTAATGCCACTAAATCACTTAAATATGGTTAAAATGGCAAACTTTATGTTATGTATATTTTACTGTAACAACAAGAAACTTTCGTGCAAACTTTTCCAAGTTAAGCAATAGAGAAATGGAAATAAAATACTATATTGAGGTCAAATACGCTCAATTGAAATGAAAACAAAAACCAGATAAACCTCAATTCCAATTAAAGCCCATTTTGAGTAAATATAAATTACATTGTCTTAATTTACACAGATCAATCTCCAGAGAAGGAAATTTGAGCAAATTCTTGTTGAACACTGCAATGGCTTATGGAATTGGGCCACATTTCAGTACCATGATGAGGTCATGAAGCTAAACAAGCTTAGAAGAGTGAACTGTAATATACAATACTGCTTTGGTGGTCTTGGTCAGAAAAACATCCCCATGTCTTGAGCAAGGAATTGGGAGAACTGATGTCCTACCTTGTTAATAATTCCTCCATTTTCAACAACTCCTTCAGCACCAACTATGACAAGATCTACTTTCTCCATGATATAGCTAAGGAAATTAAAAAAAATAAAACCTTTTTATTCTGTTTTCTTGGCTCTTGTTAGCAGCCTCATCATCTGCAAAGATTAATATTCCATTTTCATCATAGTAAATTCCTCCCATAGCTACCTTTCTTCAAAAAAGTTCTTAACATGAGATGATCAGCCCCTGGCATTTGTTACCAGTTGTTTTCAGGGGCATTAAAACTTTTTTGATCACAACCCCACACACTGCCACCCAGTGCATGCACATACATATGTGTGTAATGAAGCAAGAATTGCATGTTACAGTGTTCATCTTACTAATGTTCTACTTCAATACAAACAAAATGGAAATCTAAAAACCTGATGTGATCCGAAGTTGGAAAAAAGTGTTATGTGATTTAAGAATCTTTCTAGTAGGAGGACAATTTACTTTTTGGTTTTTTTTTTTTTTGGTGGCTGGCTGGTACAGGGATCCGAATATGATTTACCTTTTAAAATGAGGAATTAGTAGAATTCCTCTAAATGTTTTCTCTTGAACACATTTCTGATTTCCTTAACTGTCATTAGGTGTTTTCTTTCCAAGAGCTTACTCCTGTTTTGTGAAATACACAGACAGTCCAAGGAATGAACATGTGACCTCGGTTTTAGGAGAGAAGTCGCATGGGTGAAACGAAGCACCCCAGTATGTCACTGAGGACGATCCATGGCTATGGATGAAGAGACAGCACTAATTACCCTAATTGCTGACCTCAACAGACCTTTGCACCTTGCTCTTAAAATATACTAACACTTGTGTCCGTGATATCCCATAGCCCTGTCTTCTGTGTATACTATGGGGACCTCATAATGAGCCTGCAGGTGTAAGGCAACTATTAATTAAGAGGTGGGATGCTACCAGTGCATTTTTATGATGAGATTCAAACCTTTAATCTGAACAGCCTGCTCTGAGCCATCCCTGGGGATGGGCAAGGAAAGGTGATCATGACCAGGGAAGACGGGCACTTACCCAACAGCAGCATCCAGCACCACAGTGACAGGGACGTTGAGGTGGCAGAGGGCTTTGGCCATTTTCTTACTGAAGATGACATTTTGAGAACATTAGAGAAAGTCCGAGAAAGCCCCAAAGTGATATCTGATGAGTCACTTAATTTGGACAGTGATAAATCATGTTAGCTTGAAACAGTTAATACTAATGGACTGAGGGGCAGATCCCAAGACTTTGGACTAAGAAAACAAGAATTTGGATTCTTTAGAAGTATGCATTTTAGGAAAACTATACTCTTAGGGACTCTGGGTAAGAGATACAAATTTAGGGGAAAAAAAAGTTTTGCTTTTATTATCTTTTGGAGAGATGGGGACATGAATTATCTATTCCTTGATAAAAGCTTTTCATCAACACAATCTCTTGCTGTTTCTCTGATTTAATTACTTAAATAAAAACTCTAGATCCTGTCCTGTGACCTACTGCAAATGCACAGTGATTTTTCTTCCAGGGGCAGGAACCAGCACAAAGGCAATGCTGACTGTATGGCAAATGGAGGGGCACATTCTGGTTCCTATTACAATGGGTTCTAATTCTCAGTTTGCTCTTCAAAATGGCAGCTGGGACTTAGCCAAATGGAAAGGTACTTGCCCTGATAAATCAGGCTGTGACTCTGTAATGTACACACTGAAACGCTTCTTGGCTGCCACGGCTGCTTCCAGGACTCTCAGGACCACTCTGGAGTAGGCGTGAGTCAATATTCTCTGTGGACCAAGAACACTTCATCAAAGGGGCAGGTTCCCTGGTGATCACCCATACTGTCTGCGCTGGAATGCCTGTTCCTGGGACCCTAAATTTCTCTGTATGCTTTCTCACACATCAACTACAATCAGAAAGGAGACCTTGATAGTACACTGAGTTTCAAGCCCACCTACAAACTGACAAAGTTTCTGACAGAGGACTACAGTATGGGTCTCCATTCCCATAGCAGGTGCAGAAGTGGAACCCACGCCGTGTTACTCACAAAAAGCCTAAATATCTGAAGGCTCTAGGAAGCTCTTTTGGGTTGGTTTCCCTATTTCCAAGACTCAATTTGCACACCTGGACCTTCAGGCACCAGGCAGGTGGCATATGTCAATGCAGTGGGCCAGGAGGGCCAGTGGCAAAAAAGAAAAGCTAAAGGGACCAGCACCCCTCAGCTCCAGCTGTCATCATGTGCTCCACTGTTGCCGGTCATCAACTTTTCTAGAGGAGCCAATATTTGAATGTTGGCTAATTTGTAAAAATTTATAAACTGTTTGGGGTAAACATATTTGTGGTGCAGATACAATTTGTAGACACTTAAATATAACCTCTGTTCTCAGGAAGAACACAGAGGACTGTGTAATGCAAGAATATGGACATAGCTCCCTAGCTCCTTTCTGAGCCTCACCTGAGAGCTTACTAGAAACACAGGTTCTCAGGCCCTACCCCAGACCTACTGAATCCAAATCTGCATTTAATCAGGCCCCCAGGTGATTCTCTGCATGTTCAAATGCAGGTAGCATACGCACACATTACACTGCACTAGAGCAAATGGGACCTGCAGAGTCCTGACAGCACAGCGAGTCTGTGGATGGAAAGGGCTTCAGTGAGAGGCAGGCACAACCTTGCCTCCACTTGGCCAGAAAAGGCTTTGTTTGCAACTGGTTTTTGTGCAAGTTCCACTCACATCCATTATGTCATTTATTCAACGACATACTTCAAAGGTTATCTGCATGTTCAAATGCAGGTAGCATACGCACACATTACACTGCACTAGAGCAAATGGGACCTGCAGAGTCCTGACAGCACAGCAAGTCTGTGGATGGAAAAGGCTTCAGTGAGAGGCAGGCACAACCTTGCCTCCACTTGGCCAGAAAAGGCTTTGTTTGCAACTGTTTTTTGTGCAAGTTCCACTCACATCCATTATGTCATTTATTCAACGACATACTTCAAAGGTTGGGAAGGGGGTAATAAAACAGAGGACGCACTTTTAAAAGTCAAAATGCAAGTTAATAATTTTATGGTCGGTGTAGACTGAGGTGGCACAAAGGACATATGCTGGTGGGAGAGACTTCTAAAAGTTTTATTACCCCTTTGCTGGGAGACTGGCTTAACTTGCGGCTCCTGTCTTTCCTCACTTAACTTATAAACATTTGGCAGCCTTACATCACTGCAAGAGCATCTGAAAGGAAGCTAAAAAGAAAACCTCCATCCAGTGCTAACCTTTGTGGGAAAAACAGTCTTAATTCCAGGGTGGTAAGGCTGATGAAGCTGTTGTGTTGATTTAATTCAGATTAATTTACTGTATATTCAATAATAAATGTACAGGTACTTCTTTAGTAAACATCTCATTAAATCAATCATCCATGCTGTCCCAGTGTTTTTCTCTGCCTGTTTACAATGACAACCATCTATAATAATACCTACATTTATACTCATATAGCATTTACCATGTGCCAGGCATAGTGCCGAGCCCTTACAAATACATCTAGTTTAATCCTTACTATAACCCTATGAGGTAGGTATTATTATTACCCTTATTTAACAGATGAAAAACCTGTAGTACAGAGAGGTTAAATAACTTGTCCAAGGTTGCACAGTCAGTAAGTGGCACAGTCAGGATTTTACCTCAGATAGTCTGACTGTAAAGCCCTTGCTCCTAATTATCACACATGATAGATATCTACTTACCGTCCCATCTTTGATGAAAGTATGGCACAGATCTGCAATTTTATTTCTTGACAGTGATATTCTCCTGAGAAAAAGCTCTCCCCGTTCAATCATGATCTTTTTACATTTGGAGTAATCCTAGGAAGAAAACAGTAAAATGAGGGCACAGGGAAGATCCAGGTAAAGCTGAGGATATCTGTAGCCAAACAGAAGTGGAAAGGTAACCTGGGGGAGGGCAGTGGCTTACAGAGTATTCCAGGGAGGTAAGGCTGATGAAGCGAAGGAAGAGCTCCCCGCCAGAGGACACTGCCACAGAGGAGTCCACGCCACATAGGGTTTCTATGGCACTGGTGAGGTTTGCTCTCAGGCCCTGGATTGTCTCTCCTGAAACGATCAAACAAGGAATGCGACATTCACTTTAGTATCAAAGCCCCATCCTGGGTCTGCAGTTAAAGAATTCATTTATTCACTCATTCATTCAATGAATATTTACAGGGTGCACACTGTATGGCCAGGCACTGTTCCAGGTGCTACGGATACATCAGTGAACAAGACAGATAGGGCTCTGCTCTAATGGAGCTCCCTTTCTAGTGAATGAGGCAGACAATAAACAAGCACACAAAGAAATAAGTGAGTTACAGACTATAATAAAGACAAAAAAAAAAAGCAGAATGGTGAGCAAGGTGGAGCTACTTAACAGGGATGGCCTTTTGGAGTGGGGGCCATTCAAACTGAGACCTGAGTGCCGGCCCGTGGCTCACTCGGGAGAGTGCGGTGCTGATAACACCAAGGCCCCGGGTTCGGATCCCATATAGGGATGGCCGGTTCGCTCACTGGCTGAGCGTGGTGCTGACAACACCAAGTCAAGGGTTAAGATCCCCTTACCGGTCATCTTTTTAAAAAAAAAAAAAAAACCAAAAAACTGAGACCTGAGTAGGAAAGGATCCAGGGGCAGACTATAACAATGCAAAGGCACCAAGATGGGAACAAAGTTGGTATGAGAAACAAAGAGAGGCCAGCACAGCTGAAGCACAGTTCACTGATGGACAACATGGAAGGCAATCAAGTAGCAGTGGCAGATGAGGTCTGCAAAGCAGTGTAGGTGAGACTAAGGTGTTTGAATGTTGTTGTAAGTACAATGGTAAGACATTGAAGGTGGTCTTAGAGACACATGCCTTCAGATTAAAGAAGCCTGCTTCATTATTATTATTTTGCTTATGCAAATGTCATGCTATACCCAAATGCTTACATTTAGAATGTTGAATTAGTAGATCACAATGAATATTAATACCAGAATTTATTCTGAACATTCTCTGTAGCATCTGCATAGAATCTGGCACAAGGTAGAAGCTCAATAAATACTTGTAAAGTTGAAGTATTGCTGCAATTTAAGCTTCATGGTTAACTCAGTATAAAATAGTCACTCTTGATTCCAAGCATATTTTATTTATGAAACCCTTTTGATGATAATTTGAGGACTCTATCCAGGTTGAAAGACATGAAATGAAGGCAAAAGCTGAGCTTGGGGCCGCATTACCTTCTGTAGGCAACATGCATCTCACTTTCTACATTTCCAGCAGCCATTAGAAAATTTTCCTAAGGCTGAGAGTGTTCAAGAATGACCTTCTTTACCTTTATCTCTCTTCAAGAACTCCAGCAAAGTCCGGATGGCAGCCACTGCTGAGGCCATGTCACGATCTTCTTTCATCTGAGACTTAAAGTATTTAATTAACTCTGGGAAGGGAGAAAAAAGTGATTCATCAAGTTCATTTCACAGGATTTAAGGCTAGAGAGTTTGTTAATAATTGTCGACCTTAAAAAGCAAAATAATTTTTAAAATACTGTATTTTCTTTTCAGGGTATTTGGTTTCAGGGACATGATAAATGTTGATGGGAATAGAGATGACACTACTTTACTGTTTGGAAGATCTGTTTTTTATTCTGAAAAAGCTGTCAGTGTAGAAAAACATAAAATTTAAGCTCTACTAAATGACAATGAAAAGTCACTCTTCTAGGCCCTAAGTTCTGAGACATCCCAGAAACAACTCACCTTACCAATTTCTCCTGTACACTTCCAGACAGTCTACACTGATTCAAGTCTACTCTCATACATATACTCGTATATACACATACATGTACAAGTAGAGTTCCACTCATACCCTTTATTTTTTTACAGGAAAGGTATTATATTAGTTTGCACTTTGTTTTTCACTTAATAAAACACCTTGATAACCATACTAGACGAGCACATCAAATACGCCTTCTTCTTTTGATTCTAGTAAACAAATCCAACAGGGCAGGGAGTCCTATTCCTACTTCAAGTGTAAGGAAATCAAGGCCTACACACACCGTCCGAAAAGTCTCACATTTTTGGATGAAGGAACTGGGAAGGAGCGTGGTGCGGAGGGCGGGGAGTGGGGCCTGCAGATACTCTCGGGGCCCATCCCCTGGATACGGGAGCGGCGAAGGGGATTCAGTCGTGACTAGAGAAAACACATCCAGCCTAGCAGCCCGAGCTTAGAAAGCGACCTCTCCCAGAGCACAGCCTAGGCACGGGAGGTTATGGGGACCCCTGAGCAGCTCCGCTTTAGGCTCAGCAGCCCTGGCCCGTCCCAATTTACCCTTGTTGTCCATGGTGGCTTCCGGACCGCCGAGCTCGAGGGTTCAGAGGACGCCCACTCTGCCTCGGTACGTCTGGTGACAGCTCCGACTTGCGAGCCACACACACTGGCAGCGTACAGCACACCTCCACACTCCACTTCCGTCGCCTTGGGGGCGGGGCCGAGAGTACGGCGAGCGGCCCGGGCCAAACCACCTCGCGCATGACAAGACGGCGCCGGAAGCCGGGGTGCGCGGCGTCGGAGACGCTCGCTTCGCGGCTATCTGCTCTTCGCTGAGGAGCCAGGGCAGCCATGGTCTCAGACGGTGAGGGCAGCGGAGGTGGGCCCCCGACCCCAGGGCTGGACGGACTGGGCCCGGCCAGGAGCGGCCAAATGGAGTGTATCTTTTGAGCTGGGTGGAATTTGTTTGAGTCTTTGGAGGAGTAGCTAATGTATCCGTTAATTCATTCAGTAAATGTTCTGGGGTCGCCTGCTGTGTGCCAGCCATTAGTTTCTGCACTGGGGAATACGGCAGAGAACATGACAGTCAGGGTCCCTCGTGGAGGTGACAGTCTAGTGGGCGAGACAGACAATCGGCAAGGAAATAAAAATAATTTCTAAGAGTGTCGAGCTGTGAAGACGATCTAATAGGAGGGTGTGGTAGATTGTTACTAGGGGATGATTGAGGACCAGCTACTGAAGACAGGAGTCCAGGAAAGAGCGAAATATTGAAACTAAGACTTGTATGACTATGAGAATTTCCAGGGGAAGTGTATTTTAAGTGCAAAGGCCCTGTGGCAGGCCCAGCCACCACATTACACTGGGAATACGGAAGTGGAGAGCCTGAGAGTAGAGAATGGGAGAGCGGGGAAAGGCTTTCATTCACATATTAAACTGCCAGTTACAGAGCTTTCTGTCAGAAAGGAAGAGAAAGGAGACCAGGGTGGTGGAAGCAAAATGAGCTAGAGGAGTGAGATCAGAGGGCTAGCCCGTTGTAGGTCATGCAGGGCCTTGTGGGCCACGATAAAGAGGCTGAGCTTTATTTTTTGAAGTGCAATGTAAAGCCGNAAAATGAGCTAGAGGAGTGAGATCAGAGGGCTAGCCCGTTGTAGGTCATGCAGGGCCTTGTGGGCCACGATAAAGAGGCTGAGCTTTATTTTTTGAAGTGCAATATAAAGCCGTTGTAGGGTTTTAAGCAAGGAAGTGTTATGATCTGATTTACAATTTTTTTTTTTTTTTAAGATGACGGGTAAAGGGATCTTAACCCTTGACTTGGTGTTGTCGGCACCACGCTCTCCCAGTGAGCCAATCCGCCATCCCTATATAGAGATCTGAACCCGCGGCCTTGGTGTTATCAGCACCGCACTCTCCTGAGTGAGCCACAGGCCGGCCCTTGATTTACAATTTTAAAAGATACTTTGGCTGCTGTGTGGAAAATGGACTGTGAGGAGCGAAAATACAAAGAGGTCTGGCCTGTTGGCTCATCCCCATACAGGCCAGTCGCCAAAAAAAAAAAAAAAAGAAAGAAAGAAAGAAACAGGGAGACCCTTTACAGGGCTGTAACAGTTGACAGTAATCCCTTTATCAGTTTTAAGCCTTATCACTACCCTGTGAGAAAGGCAGCCCTGGCATTGCCTCTGTCTATAATGAGGAGGTAGAGACCCAAAGGAGGAAATCAACAAGGACATTGCAAGTGATGATACACACCTCTCCTGACTGACAGGCAGTACTTAGTGGTAGCAAGGAATGGATGGCCCCGAGAATTGTGGGATGGGGCCTGATAGAGAATAAGGCTGAAGGCTTAAGGGCTATAGATAGGGGTGTGAGGGCCTGTGGCAGAGATAGTTAAATGCAGCTTCTGAGCTAGGCACTTTGTTTTGTGATTTACATGATGATTTTTGCAAATCATCCCACTTGGTAGCAGGCTGTGTAACTTAGGGAAGTTACTTTCATTTGCAGACTAGGAATATTACCATATGTCATCTTATCTAAGACAGTATTGATTAAGAAATGTGCCCTTGTTTAATGTACCCCTAAGAAAGAAAAAATGCTGCCAGTTTTAATAATAAGATACCATCTGGATTTCAGCAACTGTTAAATGTGGGGAAAAAAAGGGGGGATTACATCTTATAACTGATGAAAGATGACAATAATATGTCCNTGTGGGGAAAAAAAGGGGGGATTACATCTTATAACTGATGAAAGATGACAATAATATGTCCCTTGCTGGCTTGTTGTCAGGATGGAGGGATTGTGAGTTACAGATGCCAGTGCCTGATGCAGCGGAAGCTGGTATTCCCATTACCCTGAAATGGGGAAGCTGTGACCTCCCACTGGAAGAAAAAAGTGGCATTGTTTTGGGGCCTTGAAGAGTAACTAGGATTTGAATGTGCAAGAAATCAAACATGGGCTGGGGATTATCCTGATATAGGAGACAGTGCCTTCTGTCCTTGAGCATGCATTTAAAATGCAAATATATGTGGGTTCATTAAGTAGATATTTATTCATCATCTGCTATATGCTAGGAGCTGAGGATGAGCAGTGAACAAAACAGACAAAAATTCCCACCCTCACGGAGTTTACGTTCTGGTGCATGGAAGATGCAATATATTATAGGAAGCAGGCTAAGAGCTTGCTAAGAGTCCTGGGAGCTTTAAATCCTTGAAAGAACTTGGCCTTCTATTAATTTCGTGGTTGTGGGATGATAAACATTTAAAGACATTTAATAGTGTTTACTCTGGATTTAATTTATGAATTGGGAATGTTAGCTTTGATTCCTTTTCATGAGGCTAATGTTTTTAATTTATTTCTTGTTAATACTTTCAGAAGATGAATTGAATCTTCTGGTTATCATAGTTGATACCAATCCAATTTGGTGGGGAAAGCAAGCATTAAAGGAATCTCAGGTAAGACTGCTTGAGGTGGCCTTTGGGTAATTCTGGTTTAATTGAGTGTATGTTTATATTGCTTTTTTAAAAAACAGCTTTATCAAGGTATAATGTACATATTATAAAATTCACCCATTACAATGTACAATTCAATGATTTTTTAGTAAATTTTTTTTTTTCCTTTTTGTCTTTTTTCGTGACCGGCAACGGATTGCAACCCTCAGTG